GTTTTTTCTTAAAGAAAAATTGAAATGCATTTTGAAAGATTGAACACGTCAAGAAAACAGCTAAATCGAGTTAAAAGAGAAAATAACATACAACACAGGAGAATTTAATTTTGCGTGTAAATTTTTGCCTCAAAGAAAGAACAAACTGAAAGCGTGGTATGTATAAAAAAAAGAGAAGATAAAGTATTTTTCAAAGCTAGCTTAAGTAATAGTTTTTAAAAAAAGGAACAAATTCCCAGTATCTCTCTCTAGCGACCTCGATTTCATCTACTTTTTTCCCAAGCTTTTTATTCGCATTCACACCGAGAAAACGGTTTCGGGAACGGAAGCAATAAAATACGAGCAAAATACTATGGAGACAAAAGAGAACCTGCTGTCGTCTGCCGACTGTATCAAAATAAGGATCACGTCCCCCAAAAGCTCATTGGTGTTAATATAAAAAAAAGAAGAAACTCTTTATTCTTTACTTTAAAATAATGTTTAAATGATGTAGACATTGATGTAAATCAAAAAAGAATTTTTTTTTCAGGAAATATTTAAGTGGAGATTTGAATAGAAAAGTTTTCAGGTAAAATAGAAACTATCTTGTGTGTATTTTCTGTTCAGAATGCTGATATGAATAAGAAGCCATTTTCAGGTAGAGATTAGAAGAGAGAACTTGAAAGCCGGTTATACAGTTGCGACTGTTTCAACCGCAGTAGGAAAACAAAGGAACCGCGTAAGTCTTCAGGATTTTCCCAGGGAATTTATAAAACCACCTAACCAGACTCATAGAAGTTAACAAAAGTTGGAATATAATTTTGATTAAAATTCTCCTCTTGTCATAATTTCTTAACACACATTGTTTCAATGAGAACAGATATAGAGCCGAAGAAAGGAAATTTATATTTTTCGGTACAATTATTCTTTCTTTTTGTCTGTACATATTTTAATTTGTAACCTGGCGTCTCTACGATCAGTTGATTGATATCAAATCATCTTTAGACTTTAGAAAAAAATCTATCACGTTTTGTATAATTAAGAATGTATTTTAAATAATACAAAAAAATGCTTAATTTAGCCAATCATGAATATGTCAGTTTTTCTTTTTTAACATTTTCAATTTAAAAATTAATGTAGTACTAAAAATCTTCGAATTGTTGAAAAGAATTTTATCAAAAAATTTGATAATAATAGAATTCCTTCGAGGAATTTTATTATTTAGGAAAATAATTGAATTCTTCCGAAGAATTTAGTTAAAATGTTTGAAAACTCTAATTAAATTCTTTTTGAATAAATTCTTTGAATTTTTTTTTAAATAATAGAGTTTCTTTAATAATTTTTAATTAATAATTTTGAAACTATTATAAATTTATAAAGTATAATTTAATATTATGAAAAAAAATTATGTAATTGAATTTTATGAACACTTTCTTTAAAATTTTTTAAATAATCGTGTTTGTTAATAATTGAAATTGAACATTTAATTATTGAATTTCATTAAAATTATAGAAAATAATTGAATTCTTAAAAAAAATTTTGTACCGAATTAAGAAAGAAAATTGAATTCTTTAGTGAAATTTTTATGTTTTTGCAAAGATTTTACTATTTAAAAAAATAATTGAATTCTTGCGAAGAAATTTATTAAATTTTTTGAAATTAATAAACAAGAGTAATTAATTAGTAAATTAATTAATATTTGAATTTTTTAAAGTTTGAATCTGAAACTATTCAAAAATTCATATCTGAAAATTAGAAATTTTGTAATTTGCATAGTAATACTAATAATAAATTTAAATTCACGTTCCGCCCGATAGCACGCGTATCATTAGCTAGTTCTACATAAAATACAAAGCAGTGATCGCATTGTCCTTTAATTCCACTAATCAGTTATTATAATCATAATTAAGGCCAATTAGATAAGAACAAAAGTATCTTATATCCAATTCAACGAACAATTTTTTGTAAGAATGATCCCTAGGAAATAAGAGTCCAAGGTGGAATTTTCTGGTAACATCCGCAAAATTTATCATCATACCATTCTTCTGAAAGGGGCAACGACCATGGTAATCATAATCGATGGCGTCATTCTGGAGCAAATGATCATGAATCGTAATATTTAAACTGTCTAAAGTATGAAAAAAATCCAAACTTTTTCAAATCCACGACTGAAATTAAATATTCAATATTTTTACATATATGGAATAAATTTTATTAAATTATATTGAATAAAATTTAATAAAATAAAATATTTAAACTGTCTAAAGTGGGAAAAATTCCGTATTTAATATTTTAATATTTTTTCCGTAATTCAATATTTTTACGTATGTAATAAATTTGATTAAATTAGATTAAATAAAATTTAATAAAATTTAATAAAATAAAATATTTAAACTGCTTTTGAATGAAAGGATTCGAAAATCAAATCGATTTGACTGTTTCAACTACCACAATAAACTTAAAAAAAATCTGTTATTTAGTTTTCTCGGAAAATGTCAAGAAGGTCACGCTAGAATTGATAAGAATCAGAGCCTCTGGGTCCTAAAGAGAAATTGAGCTTTTTTGGAGATATGGAGTAACTTAGAACTACGAGGGCTTAGTTTCTTCAGTTTACGAAGAGAGGAAGATAAAATCTTAACTGCCTGAATGTGTACGCATCATGTGGTCGCCACACCTGAGACCCGAGGGCACGTCACGAATAAACCCTTACTCTATTTAGGGCGACAATCTTGAACAAGTCAGGGAGATCCAAAACTAGAAACTTTAAAAATGAGCTTAGAAAAATTTTGAGACTCATTTTTTTTAATAAGTCTCGAAATTTTTCTCAAAGCACCTTATCTACAGAAAAGTATTTTTTAAATTTAAAAAAAATGAGAAAAACAAGACGTTCAATCAGAACGAAAATAACAGTAATTAAGAACTTACTATCGAAAATAAAAAATTAGTTATTGTTTTTTTTTTGCAATGGGTTTATAATTAATGTTTTCGAATTAAATTTATTATCCTGATAGTTTCATTATTTTGAGGGAAAATTGTCAATTACGATACTTATCATCCCCCGATTCGTAATCAACGTTACAATTCAGGAAGGGAAGAAAGAAACGAGAGGCAAGAGGAAAAATAGCAATTGAGAAAAGTCTGAGAGACACGTAGCTCGCCACGGAAACACGCTTTTCCGGCGGAAGTAAAGAAACGAAAGCGCAGTCTGCACGCAGCTTTCTCTTCGAACCTTTTTCTCCTTTTCTTCTTCTTCTTCTTCTTCTTCTTATTCTTCTTCTACTTCTTATTTCAACCTCCCTCTCCTAAAACTTTCATAAGGTTCGCACCGATCGTGAAGTTTTATTTGCACATAGAATTCAGTAGTTTTACGACACCAGATGCTTGTTCATTTAACTGTCAAGGGATTAAACAAACAGATTGGAATTTTTAGAAAAATGGTTTTTTCGAAAATTTAAAAATTTTCTTTAACTTTTATTGTTATAATATAGTCATTAAAATCATTTTTAATATATAAAAGGAAACTATGAAGTAAACTAAACTATTTGTAATATTAGTGACAGGACTCGAGCTAGGTCCGTAAATCTCGTAAAGGTCCGTAAATTTTCTTGAAATTACGTAAAAGTCAATTTTTTGAAGAAAGGTCCGTAAAGTCTGTAATTATATTAAAAAAGGACGAAAAGTTCATAAATTTTACGATATTATTTGGAGAACTTTAGAGAAATAACAAGTGAATGCAGAAATTCAATTATCTTTAAAAATAATAAAATTCTTCTCAGAGATCCAATTATTCTCAAAAATTTTAATAAAATTCTTCGACAAAATTTCAATTATTTTCAAAAGTTTTCCTCAATTCAATCCATTTTCAATATCTACTTTTTTAATAAAATTTTCCAAAAGAATTCAATCATGTAAAAAAAAAATTAATAAAAATCTACCAAAACCTTTAATTATTTTCATGAAATAACAAAAATTTCGCAGAAGTTCAATTATTTTCATAAATATTAAAGTTTTTATAGGGATTAAATTATTTTCATAATTATCAAAAATAATGCATTCATAGAAGAATTATTTTAGTTAAACACACGAAAAAAAATTTAATTTTGAAAAAGTTACAAATTATTGCAGAAATTTAATTATTTTTAAGAGTAATAATATTCTTCGCAAAAATTAAATATTGTGCAAAAAAAATAATAAAATTCTTTAGAAGAATTCAATTATTTTCATTAATAATAAAATTCATCGCAGAATTTCAATTATTTTTAATACAATTTTAATCGAATTTCTCGAAAAATGTAATTATTCTTAAAAATTATATTAAAATTCGTTGAAAGAATTCAATTATTTAAAAATTTGTTGATAATCTTCATGAGAATTCAATTTTAACAAATATTCAATTATTCAATAAATTATTTATTTTTGTATACCTAATTAAATAATTGAATTCTGGTAGAATTTTCTAATAAAAATAATTTATTTTAAAATGAATTTTTAGAAATAATTGAATTTCGAAATTAATTTTTTTGAATAAGTTTAATTGAATTTTTTTCTATTGTTTAATAAATATTTGAAGAATAAAAGAATTGAAGAATTTACGAATAATTGAAATTTTGTAAAGGTTTTATAAAATCTTTGAAAATCTGAATTTTTCATACTATTAATTAAAAATTCTATGGAACTAGTTTTCTTCAAAACGTTTTACTTTTTAACTTAGAAAAATATGAGATTATGTCTGACTAAATCTTGTTTTTTCTACTTATTTTAGAAAAATAAAAAAGTAGGAAATAAAGTCTGACTAAAATTGATTTTTACTACTTAATTTAGAAAAATACGAAAAAATAGGATTTTACTTTTTTAAAAGTTATAACGATAAATAGGTATTAAACAAAACATGTAATGTAAATATTTTTTTTCGTTCAATGATTTCTATTTAAATTCTATTTCTGAATTAAGTATTGAGACCTACAAAATTTTCTTTTTACAAAATTTTTAAAATTTTTAAAAACTACTACTTAATGTTTTAGGAGGTAAGCTGCGCAGAGGACGAAAGCATAGTAGCACCTCCATGAAGGTAAGTTGATCAAGCGAGTTTAGTGCGAAAGTCATACGTCTTCTGTTAAACTGATGTGAAAAGATAATCACTAAAACTTGGCACTGTTGGCACCTGAAGATTGAAAATAATTTCTGTTAGTTATATCAAATCTATTTTATTAATTTACACTTCTGAATTAGTTTAGAGATTAGAAAGCAGTTTCCCTCTAAGGGATTTAACTAATTTCTGCTAGTTCCATCGAGACTATTATATTAATTTCTACATTAAATATTAATAATTAATAATCTCTAAATATAGAGATGAAATACATTTTCTCTCCAAGGAACTTAAATCATATGTTTCTATCAAATCTATTATTATTTATACTTGCGAATAAAAACTTTGCAATTTTTTAAAGTTGAATTCATACGCAGTGCATAATATTTCTATTATAAAACAGTCTATTAATTTAGATTGACAATTTTCTTTCTCTTTATGCGTGAAGAGGGGAGAATTCAAGAATACAGATGTCATGTAGTGAGAATAAAAAAATAACATGATGAGAAGCTGCTCAATAAAACATAAAGAGGGCGATCAAATAAAAACGAGTCATGGAAAAGGCGTTTTGCTCTATGGAGGAGAGAGAAAGAGAAAGAGAGAGGGAAGAAAAGATTTGACTAGATCGGCATTACGAAACATCAGAATGATGCGAAATGGTTCTCTCCAGCCAAACGGCTCTTCTTTTCTCGTCCAATAAAAATACCATCAACGTGGAATAGTAAAATTCTAAAAAATGTATCGCCGTATCACAGAATGCCGGGAAAGTCGGTTTGGTATTACATATTTAAGCGCTCGATCATCCCGTTTTCTTCCTTAGCGGATATTTTTGATACGAAATTCTTTTATTGCTTCTTTTTTATCCCGAACATCCACGATTCGAAAAAATTTCACCTAAAACATTTCTTATTTAGTATTACATACTTTGCCAAATAAATCAATTTATCCACCTTCAGTAAATTTTTTAATAACAAGATTTCCATGTGAATTAAAAAAAGGACTCAAACTAGGTCCGTAAATACCGTAGAAGTCCGTAACTTTGCTTAAAGTCCGTAAATGCCCGTTTTTTAAAAAAAGGTCCGTAACGTACGTAATTTTATTAAAAAAAAGGTGAAAAGTTCGTAAATTCTATGATATAATTCCACGAAAAAATTCTTAAATATTTTATTAAAATTCGTCAAAAAAAAACAGTTATTTAATTTATAAAAGAAATTCATTATGAGAATTCAATTTTAAGAAAGATGCAATTATTCAATTAATTGTTCAATTTTCAATTTTATATTTAAATAATTGAATTCTAGTAGAATTTTCTCATAAACATTGATTTAAAAATGTATTTGAGTTAAAATTTTAGATTATAATTGAATATTAAAAGCATTACAGCGTAAAGTTTTAGAAATATGTAATTGAATTTTGTAAAGGTTTCAAATTAAAATCTTTGAAAATCTTAATTTTTCATACTTTTAATTAAAAATTTCATGGAACTAGTTTTTTCCAAAAAGTTTTACTATTTAACTTAAAAAAATGTGGAATTATGTCTGACTAAATCTTGTTTTTTCTACTTATTTTGGAAAAATATGAAAAACAGTAAATGAAGTCTGACTAAAATTTATTTTTATTACTTAATTCAAAAAAATATCAATATTAGGATATAGCGTCTGACCAAAACATGTCTTTACTACCTACTTAACTTGGAAAAATACGAAAAATATGAAATTAAGTCTGACTGAATCTTGTTTTTACTACTTAATTTAGAAAAACACGAAAAATAGGATATAACGTCTGACCAAAACATGTCTTTACTACTTATTTTGGAAAAAGTTATTTTAAATGTATTAATTTCCTGTTGTTTTATTTTTTCATTGGATTTCTTCTCCAAAATAACACCCCCTAAACAATAAAGACTACGTTATGTGTGGTCAAATACAAGAACCGAGGCTGCATTCGTAATCCCACCGATGACACGATAATGCTGACCACACTGCCAACTAAAACAATTTATAAAAGTCTTATCTGGACAGTTCACTTTAAATTATGAAGCTCTTTATTACGTCTCGCCAACGAAACCCCCAGGTCACTTTATAGCAAAGTTCGCAAAAATTCCATGAAGCATAAAATTTGACAGTGAATAATTATTTTTCCAGAAAAGCACATATATGTTTTCCCGTTTTTCTTTCTTTCTTTTTTTTTTTTTTTTGAAAGAAAAAAAAATCACCCATTTTTTTAAAAAAATATATATTTTTACGTAATCGAAAAATTTAACAAAAGCTCACAGAATTCTATTCAAATATCCAAGGTATAACGACTTTTACTTCTATTCTTGCAAAAAAAAATAAAAATTTTTTTTCCATAAAAATTATTCTATACTTCTGCGTTAAAAGCCTTCTCTCTGCTTTATAAAGTTATGCAATATTTGAATGCTTCAATAAATATGAAAATATATTAGTTCTTTTCCGCGACTGGTTTCTGTTGCCCGTGTGGAAAATGAAAATTGGTCCTAGCCAGGTCCTACCTATTTTGCCCTGTTAATAGCTTGGTCCTAGGTTGGCAGTGTAGGTTGGACCAACAATGGCTGGTGATGCGATTCTAGCCTGGTCCTAACTTGGGAGCCTAGTTATGACCAGTTTATTTATATACTTTATTATAATTTCGATTAGTTTATAATATTTGCTAAAGAAATAACCTAAATTATTAATAATAAGTATTAGTTTTAATTAATTATTATTTTTTTCAATTATTAAATGATGACCAAAGGCGAATTCATAAATAATGTTAGTATATGTAGAGATTAATATATATTCCTCTAATATATACATTAAAAATTATAAAAAAATTAGAAATTTGTTAATTAAATTATTTTACAGTATATATAATCATTAAATTGCATACTTATACGAATACAACGCAGAAAAATCGGAATAAACGCAAACCTAAGAAGTAAATAAAATCTAACGCACGCGGGAATCGAACCTACGACCTACGGACTACGAGACTAACGCCCTAACCACTATGCTAATGAAACTAGTTGAGATCAAAATTTTTATTATCAGTGACTTGTGGACTTGCTTTTGATGATTCAATATAGTAATTATTGACACTAATACACGATAATAAATAAAAAAATAGTTTAGCAGCAACAATAATAATAAAATAATATCGAAATATAAAAATTCAAAAATTAATATTTTTATATTATATCAGGGTCAAAATAAGTGAAACCGGCCACTTGAAAAATTTTTGTCCCCGAATTTAAAGTTATCTATGGTTTTTGATAGATATATGAGTAAACTTTTACCCGCTAAAATATTTTTCAAAAATTTTATTTATTTTGAAAGTTATCAGGTGTTAAACTTTTAGGTTACTTTTTATTCTTTTCATTATTACTCCGAAACAAATGAAGATAATTTCAATTTTTTTTTTGGAAATTAAAGCTAAAAGTCTGTAGTTTAAAGTGCAACTGAAAAAATTGCTGTATAATAAAAATTTCTAATTGTTATTAACAATTATTTTAAACAATTGCGATTTAAAGTATGTTCTCAATGTCGGAAAAAAATCAAACTATACTCATGTGATGCGTAAAACTCTAACGAGTAAATTAAAAAAAAAAAAAGTGAGTAACCTCTAAAATTACAGAAGTTATGCATATTTTTCTGACGACGCGCGGGAATTAACTGATTCGCAAACTCTCGAGCGCGCGGGAATACGCCCGCGCCCGCTCCCGCCGCACTGCTCACACTTGTGTTTTCAAACAATTTATGTTTACAGAGAAGGAGAAGTAATTAAAATATTATTTTCTTACTGAATAGTTTATTAATATTTTTACTTTTGGAGTAATTTTATACATAAAAACCATTTTGTATGTACTCATAAACTGCTTTGCAGTTTTTATGCTTTGATAAAAAACTTTTTTCGTGGGTCTGATATTCTTGAATCGTACAAAAATCGAAATCGATATTGCCCAGGTGCGATTTTTTGGTTGGCCCATAGTTGGGCCAACTTATACAAGGTTGGTCCAACTTCTTGTGCCAGAGGTTGGGCCAACCATACAGATGATAACGGCGGCCGTCTAATGGCGACGATGGTTGGCCCGACTACTCATAAGGAAGTTGGCCCAACTTACAATGCATATGTTGTGCCAACTATACATTTCAATGGTTGGTCCAAAGACTGACGCCAAAGTTGGCACAACTTTAGATGCGTAAGTTGGGCCAACCACAATTTTCAAAGTTTGGCTAACTTCAACAGCCAAAGGTAAAAAATTATTAAAAAACTACACTATTTAAACAATTAACACGTTATTATTAGCGGGAACATCAGATATAACCTTTACCTATTATTATTAAACACAATCTCATACATACATTTTCGAAAATATCTATCGCTCGCTGGGATCGAACCCCTAACCTAACGCACCGAAGACTTATACACTGACCACTACGCTACGCTCACATGGGAGTGCATATCGCAAAATGTATATTAAAGCTGCAACAGTCGGGCCAACCGTGGCCCAGAGTTTGGCCGACCAAGAAAGTTTAAGTCATTTAAACTGCATTTGAGAAAGTTTTGCCAACCGTTGGGCCAACCGTGGCCCAGAGTTCGGCCAACCAAGAGAAATCAAGTCAATTAAACTGCGTTTCACAAAGTTTTTCCCACCGTCGGGCCAACCGTGGCCCAAAGTTCGGCCAACCAAGAAAGTTTAAGTCATTTAAACTGCATTTGACAAAGTTTTGCCAACCGTTGGGACAACCGTGGCCCAGAGTTCGGCCAACCAATAAAAATCAAGTCAATTAAACTGCGTTTCACAGAGTTTTGCCAACCGTTGGGCCAACCGTGGCCCAGAGTTCGGCCGACCAAGAAAGTTTAAGTCATTTAAACTGCATTTGACATAGTTTTGCCAACCGTCTGGCCAACCGTGGCCCAGAGTTCGGCCGACTAAGAAATTTGAAGTCATTTAAACTGCATTTGACAAAGTTTTGCCAACC